CGGGGCCCCCGTGGCCACCAGCCCTGGGCGGCAGCGAGCCCACCCGGTGCTGCCTCGGCGTGTCGAGGTGTGGGGCAGATGCTGTGGCCAGGATGCCATGCCATGGCCGTGCAGAGGGCTGCCCCATGGCACCCCCCTGCTGCAGTGGGGCCTGGCCCGGGGCCTCCACCTGCGCTGGGTGAGGGGCAGGGCAGGGCTGGGCGGGCTGGAACCAGACCCACGGTGGCCACTGGGGCGTCTTCCCCCTGCACTGCTGCTCAGGCACAGGGTGCCATGCTGGCCTTGAGCTCTCCAGAGCAAGGATCAGCCCAAAAGGTTGAAACAAGACAGCAGTTAACTGGACTGAGTCTGCTTTGCTGCGGGGGCATCACCTGGGCTTGCCGTACGTCAGTGTCCTCCTCCCACGTTTCTGACCTCCACGGTCACTGGAAGGGTCTTGGCACCTTGCTGACAAGCCAGGGACCAGCCAGCTGTCCCCATCCCTGGCAGCACGGGCAGGCTCTTCTCTTGCCACCAGCAGGGCTCTTCCATTTCCTTTTTTAAGGCAAGAGATAATTGCCACCCTTGTGAGGAGCTGCAGGGTGCACATAGAGCAGCTGTAGGGAGCAATCCAGCATTGCATCGCTCCACAGGCTCCTGGTGTGCAGGCAGTGCAGCAGTGAGCTGTGTGCTGGGAAGGGAATATCTCTTCCTGGAGTTCCCCTCCCAGTCCACATGGCAGAAAAGCAGTTGCTGGGTTTTGGTTTTGTTTCACATCTTTATCAGTCTGTTTGTGCTCTGGGCTAAACAAGCACCAGTTACGTTGTTGTGTTTTCTGCAGTATCACAAACTGTAGATGTTATGCAAACAACTTAGGGAAATGTGCTGGGTTTGTTTAGGCCCTGTAAGGTCAGTTAGTTTACCGAAGGAAAAAAAAATATAACATTGTTTAGGACATTCAAAAGTAATTGTTAATATTTCAGTAACTGTGTGGATGTAACATCCTTGCTCTTTACTCACATAGCAGTGCATCTACAAATGGACCTTAATGTTGAAATACCAGGTTTCTGTGTAGAATTAATATTAACTAAACAGCTGTTCCTGCATGTCTCTTGGCCATAAGGCATGTTTAGTCACTGAGTGTTTCTGCACAAACTGAGTGCACCTTTCACTTGTGGGGCTCCCACGGGCGTGTGTTGGTGTCCCTCAGACACGTGTGACACTGGCGGCCCGGGCCGGGTGGTTGGTGCTGCAGCCCTGGCTCTCCAGCTGGAGATGGCCAGTGTGCTCTGCTATATTTAGAACACAAACAGGCAAAGCAAACACTTTCTGCGGGGACCCCGTGAAATGGCTGCACCCTTCAGCTCTGCCTGCAGACTTTGGCCTCCGGCCCAGGTGTCCTCTGAGCGTGTGGGGCAGGAACGGGGCGACTCGTCTCTGCTCCTGGGAGATAAAGATACATTTCAGAAGTGGAGCTTTTGCCTGGGTAAAATGCTTTTCTTTTTAAAATTTTTTATCCCCTCGCCGTGAAGGAAAAGCAAAAAGTGGGTAGGTCTAGAGCAGAAAGAGAGGGGCATGCCCAGCCCCAGGTTGTGCTGCTCCCGCAGGGGCAGTGCTGGGGGCTGCTGGGGACAGGGGCATGGCAGCCCTGAGTGCTGGGCAGGGGTCCCCTGGGGACACCCCTGGGCACCCTGCAAGTTTTTACTTCTCAACTGCTGACTGAGGAGTTACTACACGTTCAGGAGCAGAACGGGAGAAAAAGGAAGGCAGGGATATTTCTCTGACCCCGGCAGGGTAGTTCAAGGAAGAGGTCAGGGCCATGTCAGTCAGAGCAAGATTTTATCATCCCTCTGTTGAATACCTGGTTTCTTAATTAGGCCTAATGAAATGTGCAAGGCTGTCCTTAGGGTAGTGCGTTAATCAAGATAAATGTGTGTGGGGTAATCTAGCCCTTAGATATTAAGAGGATAATTTTAAAACAAGAATGATTATGTAGTATATTCAAATTGTGCGCTTGAGTGGCTGAGTCAGCTCCAGCTCTGCATTGTTTAAATGTCGTAGGATTTTTTCCTTAATTTGGATGCCCCAAAGCCTGTTAAACTGTCCACAGCAAAAATAGGCTCTCAAGTTCCTAAATCAGGAAACCAGTTTGCAACAGAAATTACATTTTTATCATAATTTTGAACCATTCTTCATTTTTTGCGTGGAAAAAGATGCTTAAGTAGGGTTCATTTTTGAAATTACATTAACTTCGTCATATGTTCCGATAGATGAGTCATCTGACGCTTCCTGAAAAATGAGATAAAGATGTCTTAGCCATGGGGAGGTGGATGTCAAGTGCAGATCTCATGGGAGGCTGCAGTTGCCCTCAGACACCCGCCGTCCTGCCTGCAGCTTGGCCGGGTGCGCCACATCCTTGGGCTGCCACGCTACCCTGGAGTCTTTGAAAGTGTAAAAGCAGTGAGGAAGAAGGTGGGCAAAGGGTGAGGTGGTCTCAGACTGTCTTTTCCAGTGCTGCCCGGGTGCAGCAGCTGCTCTGTCTGGTGCTCCTGCTCTGCAGGTGGTGGCTTTCTGCGGGGTGGAGCTGTTGGGATCCAAATCAGGCCGGGTGGAACTGATGGGAACGTCCCAGCAGGTCAGTGGGCTTGGGGAGCAGTGCAGGAGCTGGGCTGGGTCACAGTTCGTCCCTCATGTTCACCACAC